AGCTGAATGTGCTTCCCATCTGTAATCCCAGCTCTTTAGGAGTGTAGGTAGAGGACCTGTGGTCCCAAGCTGACCACAGGCAAAGAGCACAAGACCCTATCTGAAAAAATGATTAAAGCAATAAGGCTGGGGCATGACTCAAGTGGTAGAGCTCCTCCCTAACAAGAGTGAGTCACTGAGTTTTAAACCCCAGTATCGCCAAAAAATAAATAAAAAAAGTTTGGTTAGAACATTCATGATGTGAACATCTCACCAGCACTTCAACAAATTGAAATCCAAAATTATTAAAGTGCTGAAATGTTCATTTTGTCCAAAGTGAACGTCAGTTGTTTATTTTCTAATGGTAAATTGCTAGGAGTGGCAACTACTGGGTAAAAGTGCATGCCTATTTTAAAGTTTGCCTTCTGTAAAGTTTACAGTAATTTTTATCCCACCCACAGTTATGATCACTTTTCTCTATATTCTCACCAACAGTGGTCATAATCAATTTTTTAAATCTTTGGTAAATTAGGTAAAAAGCACTTGTTTTCATTTTCAGTTCAGTTTTTGTTGTTGCGCTTTAGCTTTGTTTTTGTTGTTGTTTGAGACAAGGTATCACTATGTAGCCCAGGAGAGCTACCAATCCTCCTGCCTCAGCCTCCTGAGTGCTAGGATTAATAAAGAGAGCCATCATGCCCTGCCCCCAATTACTTTTTGTGAGGTTAAACAACTTTGTATCTCCTTGTCATCTATTTGTTTCAATTTTTTTGTACTGCCTATTCGAATCTTCATTTTTTTCTGAGGTTTGTCTTTTTCTTATTGGCTTCTAAATAAATACATACAACATATGAACAATATTATATCAGTTTCACTAGTTTGGCTTTTAACCTCACGTTGTCTTCGAGCCCCAGTTTTAATCTACTGTGTACTAGGAACTAGCATCTGTGCAACTGAGCAGGAAAAAACATCTTTGGTCACAGCAGCTCGGTGGGCGGGGCCAAAGCGACCCGGGCAACTAGGCCCCGTCCCTCTCCACGACTCCACCTCTTAGGGGCGGGGCCAAGTGACACGCCGCCTGCGCGTGCAGCTTCTATTGCTATAGCGACTGTGGGCAGCCTTTCCTAGTTCCAGTACCTTGCGGAGGGAGCGTAGGCCTCAGGGGCGAGAGTTGTCGGCGTGCGTCACTTGGCGTACTGACGCAAGTCCAGCCACAATGACGCATGCGCAGTACGAGTGTCATGGCCCTCCGGAGGCCATCGGCCGGCGTTCGGTGGGGGCGCGACCTGGCCGGTTTAGGCTCCAGGTACCGCGAGGACTCGTCGGAGCCGCCTTTCTGGCGCGCTCTCTTCCTCCTCTGCGGCTGGGTGTGTCACCGACCCAAAGGAGCGACCACCCCAGGAAGCTGCCCTAGGAGCGGAAGTGGAGTATGGCTCCTTTGAGTGAGGGGAGCAAGTGAGTGCAGCCTCTCCAGGCCGTGGGGGCCCAGGTGGGCGTGAGCGAAGGTAATTCAGGCCCATTAGGAGCCCCGCTCCTCCTTGGACTAACTTTCCAGTGGGTGAGGGCGGGGCTGGCACTTTCTGTACTCCAGGGCAGGAGACTGACTGCTCGAATGGGGCGCCTGGGACTCAGTTCCCCTAGATGAAATGAGAGCCTGGGTGTCGGTGGCCCACGGTACACACTGTTTACACACTTCCGCGGAGGAACTGGCCGTAGTACTTCTAAAACTCCTTTGTATTGCCCGGAGAGAGAACAACTGTTGATGAAATCTTGTGGATTTTGTGTTAGGCTCAGGAATGTTACAAGTATTCCCTTTGTGGCTTTGGACGGGAAGCTACCTAGCTTCCTCCTGGAATCAGCAATATAAGAATAGTAATACTGACCCAACTAGCAGAATTATGATGCCACAAAGCTCTGTGGAGTGCTTAATGAAAGCGATCGAGGCTCACATACTGGAAAATCTTTCCGTACACTCTAGAAGCCACATACTGTTTTGCTTGTATTTTTTGTCATGCATTGAAGTGCTAGAGTGAAGGTGAAATACATTCTTATGCTCATTCAGAACGTGATCAGACAGGTGCCTTTTGTGCTAAGTATGGTATCCATTCATTTATCCAGTAAGTTCTTATTGAGTGCTTTATTGTGTAGTAGGCACAGTTCGAACCTTTTGGTGGTGATCTGTAAATAAATGAAAGATTCCTGCCCTGTGGAATTTACATGCTAGTTTGGGGAAGACAATAAACAGTAAATATGAATAAGTAAGTGATAAGTTAGAAGGAAATGAGTGCTTTAGAATAAAGCAAGGTAAGGGACACTGAGAATGCAAGATACAATTTTAAATAAGTATGTCAGGGTAGGCTTCACAGAGTAAATGACATTTGAGCAAATGTTAGAAGGAAGTGAGGGAATAAGCCAGGCAGATATCTGAGGAAGAGAGTGGTAGGTAGAGTGACCTGCTGTTGCAAAGGTTTTCAGCTTGAAATGTGCCTGGTGTCTTCAGTGAGCATCAGGAAGGCTTTTGAGGCTGGAATGGAATGAGTAAGAGGAAATAGTAATAAGAATTGTGGTAACACAGCTTAAAAAGTACAGTCAGAAAGAACAGTGTAGTTTGTGAATCCCTTTAGTTGTCTTCAACCTTACTTGTGAAGGTTATTTAATTCAGGTAAGATTTCACAGGTTAAATTAGCATATGATATCAATGACTAAAATCAGACTTTTTCCAAAATAGGATATATTTGAGACCTAAACATGGTTATAGTTTTCAGTTAGCACAGTGTGAATGAAGACAGAAGAGCTTGTTGTGATAAACCTTCATTTGCCCTTATTTAGGATTTTAGTGAATGCAGAAACACCTTTTTGCCATCCTTTAGAAGTTGTTCTAAATACAGTTTCTAACAACTAAAAAAAAAAATTGAAAATAAGAAAAAGATTTTGATGAGTATTTGTGTCTGTTACTGGGATGTACCTGTAATTTGTAAATACATTGTGGCAAACAGAAATGATGAAAAAAGATACCTGTTACTTCAGGGAGTTTACAAACTAGTAAGTGGAAGAACTTATAAATCAAATACAAAATTAAAAAAAAGATGAAAAAAGTGTGCTAAAAGAACACTACAAAGTAACTAGAGTAGTAACAGAATGAAGTCACTTGGATAGTATTATACTTGTTAGGGCAGTAGCTCACCTTTATTTCCCATTTGAATCCTTAACCATCTGCTTTTTATGGGATGGTGATTTAGTTTTTTCACGTTACAAATTTAGGTTTTTAAAACCAGTTGTAAAATGCACTGAATATGCCAAATAAGTGCAGAATTCATGAACTAAAGCACCTATTAAATTGCACAGGTGTCATGTAATAGTCACCACTCTGTTGGAATTTAGAACTTTTCCAACACTGTGGTGTTAAGCCATGCTTCTTTCTTTTATATCCTTTTTTTCTCTCCGGGAGGCAGATGTTTTTGGTTTCTTAGACAGTGTTACAGCAAAAAGTGTAGAATGACTGTTGTTATATTCAGGAAGGATATTTTTTTTTCAGTTTAAAATTCTCTCAAATCAAGTTTTAGTGACAAGAAGAAATAATAGTGTAAACATGGAACTAATCCTACAAGAGGCAGGAATCTGTAGTTTAGAGTTATGCCACGGGAAACTTGGTCAGGTTTTCAGTATCAAGAAGGAGACTGAGTTGGCCATGGTGGCATGTGCCTGTCATCCCAGCAACAGCAGGAATCATAAAATAGGAGGAGGATCGTGGTCCAGGCTGCCCTGACCAAACAGTGAGACCCTGTCTCCAGAATAACCAGAGCAAGGCTGGAGGCGTCACTCATGTGGTAGAGGACACAAGTTTAAAACCTCAAAAAAATTAAAATTATAAAAAAGAAGAGGGAAGTTAATTAAGTACAATACAGTTTACAAGTGGTATCACAAGTATATTAGTTACCTTTCCATTGCGGTGACAACATACCTCAGATAAAAAACTTTAAGGGGAAAAGTTTATTTTGACTCACAGTTTCAGAAATTTTAGTTCATGGTCAATTGGCCCATAGCCTTTGGACCTGTGGTAAGCCAGAACATTATGGTGGGGAGGAGGGTTATTAACTTAATGGCCACTAGGAAGCAAAGAGAGAAGGGGCCTGGGTCCCAACATCCCCTTCAAAATCTTGCCTTCCCTCTCCCAACCTAACTTCTTTCCACTAGGCCCTACCTTTTAAAGGTTCTACCACTTCCTAACAGCAGCACAAGGGGGACCAAGCCTTTGGAGCCATTTTGGATCCATACTATAGCAGTGAGTGGTAATTGATGGCCTATAAAGATGATAGGTAACACCAAAGTACATGTCTCAGTGGAATCTCGACAGGTGTGTTCAGCAACCCTAGTAGGTATGTAAGTGGTTGGTGGCAGAGGGCCTTGAAAGTATGATCAGTACTGGGTTCAGGTGTGCTATCCCTTCCTGGAAGGAGGTAAGTTATGAAGAGAACTAAAAAAGCTAAAAGTCACTTGTTAGAGCTTGATTGAAGGTCATGTCCAGGGAAGAATCTTTTACGAATATGTGTGTGTGTGTGTTTGAGTGATTTTGAGGCCATGTGGTGGTGTTTCAACTGTAGGTAGAGAACTTTGGGAAGGAGCTAGCTGGGTTAGTATGATAATAAGAGCTGTCATTCACTGATGAGTGTTCTTTGGCATGTACTTCTGATTGCCAGCATGTTTTACCCTCCTTAAAAAATGAAAATGTCAATTTTTTTCATTAGAAGAAACTGAATCCCGGAATGTAATTTTCCCAGGTCACTGATTAAGTTGTAAGTAGTAGAACTGGAATTTGAACCCAAATCTGTTGAATATCAAAGCTTTATTCTTTCTTTATTCCATATTGCTTTGTTTCATATATTTAATAGAGTGTGCTGACTCTGCCTTCCATTTTATGGGATTTGTTATAAGTGTGATTAGATTTACTCTTATTATATTTCACTAATAAAGTTGATTCATTTAATTTTGTGTTTTTTCTTCCTAGATTTTAATTTGATTTGAAAATGAGTAAGTGGAGAAAAGCCACCAGTTCAGCAGTTAGCAAGTTTCTGAGACCTTCAGTTCCAGATGTTCTTGCTAACATTTTTGAACTCTTCACCAAGAACTTTTCTTACTGCAAGCCACCTAATAATGAGTGGCAGTTACCAGATCCCAGTGAGATTTTCACCTGTGACCACACAGAGTTTAATGCATTTCTTGATTTGAAAAACTCCCTAAATAAAGTAAAAAACCTCCTGAGTGATAAGAAACTGGATGAGTGGCATGAGCACACTGCTTTCACTAATAAAGCAGGAAAATAATTTCTCATGTGAGAAAGTCTGTGAATGCAGAACTTTGTACTCAAGCATGGTGTAAATTCCACGAGATTTTGTGTAGCTTTCCACTTATTCCACAGGAAGCTTTTCAGAATGGAAAACTGAATTCTCTACACCTTTGTGAGCTCCTGGAGCTTTTATAGCTAGTCTCAATCACTACTTAAAATCCCATCGGTTCCCTTGTGATTGGAGTTGGGTAGCTAATACTCTGAATCCATACCATGAAGCAAATGACAATCTTATGATGATAATGGATGACCGGCTTATTGCAAATACCTTGCACTGGTGGTACTTTGGTCCAGATAACACTGGTGATATCATGACCCTGAAATACCTGACTGGACTTCAGGATTTCCTAAGCAGCATGGCTACCGTTCACTTGGTTACTGCAGATGGGAGTTTTGATTGCCAAGGAAACCCAGGTGAACAAGAAGCTTTAGTCTCTTCTTTGCATTACTGTGAAGTTGTCACAGCTCTTACCACTCTTGGAAATGGTGGCTCTTTTGTTCTAAAGATGTTTACTTTGTTTGAACATTGTTCCATAAACCTGATGTACCTGCTAAACTGTTCCTTTGACCAAGTCCATGTTTTCAAACCTGCTACCAGCAAGGCAGGAAACTCAGAAGTCTATGTGGTATGTCTCCACTATAAAGGCAGAGAAGCCATCCATCCCCTGTTGTCTAAGATGGTGCTGAATTTTGGGACTGAAATGACCAAGAAAGCTCTCTTTCCCCATCATGTGATTCCCCAATCTTTTCTCAAAAGACATGAAGAATGTTGTGCATTCTTTCATAAATATCAACTAGAGACCATTTCTGAGAACATTCGTCTGTTTGAGTGCATGGGAAAGGGGGAACAAGCAAAGCTGAATAATTTAAGGGATTGTGCTGTACAATATTTTATGCAGAAATTTCAACTGAAGCCTCTTTCCAGAAATAACTGGCTAGTAAAAAAATCTAGCATTGGTTGTAGTACAAATACAAAATGGTTTGGGCAGAGGAACCGATATTTTAAAACTTACAACGAAAGGAAAATGTTGGAAACCCTTTCGTGGAAAGATAAGGTAGCCAAAGGATACTTCAATAGCTGGGCTGAAGAACATGCTATATATCATCCTGGGCAAAATTCTCTTTTAGAAGGGACAGCTTCCAATCTTGAGTGCCATTTGTGGCATATTTTAGAAGGAAAGAAACTGCCAAAGGTAAAGTGTTCCCCTTTCTGCGATGGTGAAATTTTAAAGACTCTCAATGAAGCAATTGAAAAGTCCTTAGGAGAAGCTTTGAATTTGGATTCCAAGTTTAGGCCAAAACAGCAGTATTATTGTTCTTGTCACATTCTTTCTGAAGAACTGATATTTTCTGAGTTAGTTAGCCTTACCAAGTGCCTTCGGGATGAGCAGATGGTAGAACCTGGTGACCAAATAAAGTGCCTGCTTGTAGGTTTACCGACTCTCTGTGATGTCAAAATACCTATACCATTAGAAGTTCGACTCCTTGAATCAGCTGAACTCATGGCTTTTGGCTGTTCATTGCTTCATGATGGAGATCCAGCTTACCAGCATCTGTTTTTGGACTGCCTTCTAAATTCATTACAGCAACTTCATATGGGAGATGTTATGATTTTGCCTGTACTTTCTTGTTTAACAAGATTTATGGCTGGCTTGATCTTTGTACTTCACAATTGTTTTAGATTCATCACATTTTCTTGTCCCATATCCTCTGAGCCCCTGAGGACTTGTGCAGTCCTGCTGTGTGTTGGTTATCAGGATCTTCCAAACCCAGTTTTCCAGTATCTGCAGAATGTGAATGAATTGTTGAGCACTTTGCTTAACTCTAGTGCACCCCAGCAGGTTTTACAGTTTGTGCCAATGGAGGAGCTCCTTAAGGGGGCACTGCTTGATTTTTTGTGGGATTTGAATGCCGCCATAGCTAAAAGGCATTTGCATTTGATTATTCAAGGAGAGAGAGAAGAAATCATCAGCAACCTTCAGTTATGAAATTGAGCTTGTCCTTTCTGAGATTCAGTTTTGTGACTTACAGTTTCTAATGTAACTGTATCTGTTTGCTCTATTTAATACCTTTCATTTAGGGGAAAGGCCAATTTTTCAGTCATTCAGCGTTTTGTGGATTCTGGAAAACCATCAGCTAGTTCTGATCTCTAGGATACATAGAGCATAGGCATAGAGTTCTTCCTTGTGGTGGGATCTATGCAGTGATGATATGGTGTTCAGCCTTTAAAGTGAGATGAGTAGTTGTGCTTGGGGTGGATACACCCATGCTTGCCTATGCAGTTAGTTGATCTTATTTATCTGCTTAAGGTTTGCACTTGTGTGCCTTCAATCAGGTTTTTTTTCCTACTAATATCCTATCATTGAGTAATGCTGTTAATGAAGTGGTAGAGTCACTCATGAAAAGAGGTGAGTTATTCCTCAGCACAATTTACTTGAGCGCTTAACATGTCAATTATAGATTTCAGGGCACTCTTTGTGCCAGATTTCTTGATGATTGCAATTATTGCCATTAGGTTATTGACCCAGTTTTCTTTTATGGTTCAAATGAAGCTAATGTATTGTCTTGTGAATTATTTTATTACAACCATCCAACTAATAAAGAGAACAAGGCAGCTTCAATACAAAGATCATGCTTAAAACAATGAAAAATTGTGTCTAGTACACTCTGGAATCATGAAAAAATTCATTTAGCAATGTTGTAATTTTTGACTTCTAGGAAACAATGAATTTAAAGATTGTATTAAATTTTAAGGTACCATTTATAGTCTTATCTTAGGGACTTATGAATTTGATGAACATAGTGAATACTAGAGAAAAAATTTAATACTTTCAGAATCATGGTTCAACATTTAAAAATTTTTACTCTTTATTAATTTATTTTTTCAATATGAAAATAGCACTTTACCAAAAGATTAGCCATGAGATCATTTTTTAAATCAGTTATATCTGATTTCTTTTGAATTGTCTGTGTTTAACAGTGTAATGAACTTTTTTTGCAAACTGAATTAAATAATATTTATTACCTACTTCTACTCGAAGTTCTACGAGTAGAGAATATTTGTCTTATGTTCATTTGTAGGTATTTTTGTTAGCTACATGAAAAATAGACATAGTTTCTGATGTATTTGATTTATAAAAACTAATCTGAAGAATTTTCATGTTCTTCACTGTTTTTAAGTTCCAGTATAGTTCATGAATAAAGTCTTTAGCAGAGATTTTGTGTTCATCTTTTAAAAAGAGAATCAGAATCATGGGGGAAGCTAAAGATACTACTTGGAAACAGACTCTTTATAATGAAGTTTCAAGTGGGAGTTAATGTTCTTTCATTTCCTTTGATTTGTACTCATTAACATTTACTTCTTAATATTGTAATATTTATGGAAATCTACTTCCTGAGAGAAATTGAGTTCTTTAGCGGGGTGGAAAAGGAGAGGGGAGGAAAGAAACTTCATTTTCTACTAGTGACTTTATGGGAGTGTATTTACTTGTGTGATGGTGGAAGCCTGAGAGACAAGTGGTTACCAAGAGAGAAAACTACTCCTGGAAAACCCATTTTGCATTTAGTAGTTTCCATGCCTTGTTAATAATAATGTAGTTTATTTCACTTATTTTAGCCATTTAATTAGAATCAGATTGAAAGTCTGGGTCCAGATGTTTATATTAAAACTTTCCTTTAAAGCCCTTCAAGTAAGTACTGAATGCTTAATTTTTTAATACTAATCTGATTATGCAACATTGGAATATAATATATTTAGTTTTTTAACATGGATTTTGGAATCAGTTGCTGCCTATCTGATTTATTGGATTCTGATTGCTTTAGAGGTGAGATAGGAGTTGAGGAAAGTTCAAATTGAACTGAATGTAGATGATAGATACCAGTATTTAAAAGAATTTCTCTTTAACCTAAGGAGAGAAAAGTGCTATAAAAAATGAATGATAGTTAGATATGGTGGTACATACCTGTAATCCCATCTACTCAGGAGATGAAGGCAGGAGGATCACAATTTGAGGGCAGCCCAGGAGAAAGGTAGTTCATCTCAAAAAAACAAGGACTGGAGCATGGCTCAAGTGATAGAGCACTTGCCTAGCACATGCAAACCCCTAGGTTCCATCCCCACCCCTGTGTAAAAGAGAGAAAAAGTAAAGAATAGCAAGATGTGAGAGGCGATTTGTATTGTTTATCAAGGTAGTTACTGTTCGTAAATATTTTTCATAGGTCTTGAAAATTTTAATTTCAATGCTTTTCAAAAATGTTTTAGTGCTAGAAAATTTAATCTTCACAAATGTTTCCTAAAGCTTTATATTTTCTTTCTTCAATATTTTTGTTTCCTTACCAAAAAAAGTTTTGTATGTTAGTGGGAGCTTTGGTGTAATGTCATTTAAATATTTAAATACATTGAAAATGTCTCTGTGAAATTTAAAATCCAAATTTGTGGGCTTGATTTTCATCTTAAATTTTTTTTTGTTTAAAGAATTTGTGTCAAGTTTGTGGGGTTTTCCTACATAGAAACTTGAAGAGAAACTCACATAGTTGATAATAGTCCTGCCTTACCTTTTTCTTCAGGATAAAACTCGTTTGTGGGTGATCACAGGAGCAGAACTAACTACAAACAGAATTTTCAGTATTGAAATAAATATTTCAAATTCAGTATCAAAATTGAAAATAAATTTTTATTTGGATGGTAAATGCTTTTAGAATTTTTTTTAAGTTTGATAGTACATAGAGTAACTGATAGTATGTAGGAATTTTTGAAGACATTAAAATGTCAATGTATAATGAGTTATTTTATATTTGAGATTCTAATCATTCTTTCCCACATTCATTTGTTTGATGTTTTTTTTTTATCTTTTTGCCAATATAGAAAATTAATATTTCTTTGAATAAGTACAAGTTTATAGTGGAATAATTTGGGGAGTGGTCAGTCTTCTTCATGACCATAGATATGTGAAGACGCAGCTCTGTTTTGCTAATGAAAAGATTTTGAAATTATCACTAAGCATAGCTACATTTAATTTCATTCCATTGAAAATTTGATTTAAAAGTGCAATCTGCTTGTGTTTGCCTATGTGTACTCACAATTCGTACCCGTAATGTCTCTTTAATTTTTTTGAGATCTTGATCATTGTATCTTTTTGGCATGTTTTACTACCAACTAGGTGTAATCATTCTGTGTTCATTTATGCCATGTACACAGCATTAATTTAGCCTGTTGACATTTAATATTTATCTAATATTTAATGTTGCAGACATATTTTTTATTTGTGCCTTAAATTTGATTGCTGTGATTTAAAGGAAAACATTTGTAGAACTTGTACTTTCTGTTTATTATGTTGAAAGGTATTCTTATTAAAAGATTCTATAATCTCTGTGAATAAACCTACATTTTATGTGTTCTGTAACTTTTTGCTCTTTTACATTGTTCTTTTTAACACCAAATTGTTTTACTGAACAGGCATATGTGCTTTCTAACGTGTTTGGAGAGTTTCTGTTCTGTTTCCAGTGAATTTCAGGATTAAAAGATTAGTTTGTAATTAGATTACCTTAGAAATTTAAAACAAGCACCAATATTTCCTGTAGTTTCTTTTTTTATTAGGGTATATCATTTTAACTTCAGTAATATAACCTCTTCCCAACCATTGTATTTACTGTTTGAATCATTCTATATGAGCCTTACCTTTAAGTGATCTTAATACTGGTTCATTCTTTTTACATTCTTTATTTTCTTGCCAGATCATCAACTCATAGAGCACATGATACTTACTTTTCATGCTATGTCATCAATATGTGTCTACAGAATTTGGTTTGGGATTTTTATTAAAGGAAAGTTTTTATTTTTGGTGGACCTGGGGTTTGAGCTCAGGACATCAGGCTTCCAAAGCAGGTACTCTACAGCTTGAACCACAAGTCTAGTCCTATTATAGAAAAGTTTTAATGTACCAAAATTAAAGTAATGTAACAAACTTCCATATACCTCACTTAGAGATTGTAACTGTTAACATTTTGCTGAACTTGTTTTATCCTCCTACACTTTTTTCCCTTGGAGTATTTTAAATTTCTTGAAATACGTACTGTGAATCTCTAACAGATAAGCACTTTATCAACAACCTAATAAAAAACACCCAATAACCCAATCACGTTCAAATTTTCCATGTTGTCTCAAAGATGCCTTTTTTACAGTTGGTTTATTCAAATAAGGTTTGTAGGTTGCATTTATTTAATATGTCTCTCAGAATTGAGACGTATTTTCCCCACCCTCTAGACCAATCTTTTCCATGACCTTTTAACTGCTGAAGAGTTGGTTATTTGTCTTGTAGCTTTTTCCACATTCTGGATTTGGCTGGTTATTTTACTTAGATTACTTCTTAATTGTAACTGGATGTCACAGGTTCCCCTTGTAAATTGGTAGATTATAGAATTGGTTACTTTGGATAATAATTTCTTGCATCAATCATGCTGTGTGCATTTTTTTTAAATCATGAAGCACAAAATGTCTAGCTGCTTGGCACTAAGGTGAGATTCAGATGTCATCCTGATCCATCAGTTATTAAATTTTCAGTCTTTAACTTAATAGGCTTAAAAAAATCCATTGGATATTGATAACTAGCTCCATTTATTAGGGATTGCAGAGTAGCATTTTTTAACCATAGTTTTTCTGTATTATTTGGACTTTTATGGCAGTGAACTTGAAGTATCAAGTATTTTTTTTCTGAAATAGCATAGGGAAGTTTGGACAAATGTTTAATTAAAAAAAAACTATCAGTTTTTCAAGACAAATTAAGTTGGTAACCTCAAAGGTGACCAATGAGACTTTTTTGTGTGTGACTGTTTTTCATTACGAGGAACATATGGGTGGTTTATGTATTTGATGTATTTTAATCAATTGACAACTAGTCTTATTTGATGCTCAAATTATCCAGTTTTGCTTAGGTGTGTAGAGAAAGGCTTCATGTTGATTCCATTAAAAAAAAACATTCCATAATCTCTGATAACTTCGATACATTCTGGGCAAATTATACACTGGTATCATATTGTATATTTTCTGCCCGGAGCTGACTTTATTGAGAATGTCCATAATGCACTGTATCTCAAATTTGGTTTCAGGAAACTTTACTCTCTCAAAATTATTGAAGGAGTCAAATAGCTTTTGTTTATGGGAATTTATATCTACTGATAATTCCATGTCAGAAGTTAACAGAATAATTTTAAGTTTTATTAAAGTAACAAACTTCATTGGTTGTCATGAGTAACATTTATGAAAAATAATATTCAAAATAAAAATTTTGTTATGGTATCGTTTGAAATTTTTTTGTGGTACTGGGACTTGAACTCAAGGCCTACTCCTTGAGCCACTCCACCAGCCTTTTTTTTTTTTGTGATGGGTGTTTTTGAGATAGGATCTCATGAACTGTTTGCCCAGGCTGGCTTCAAACTGCAATCCTCATCTCTGCTTTTGAGTCACTAGGATTCAGGTGTGAGCCACTGGTGCCAGCTGAAAATCTTTTTTATGTCTTAATAATAGGAGACAGTGGATATCATCTGATTTCACAATCTTTTGCATTACATTGTTTTGTTTAAAGTAGTTAAGAAATCTGTCCTCACATAGTAATGTAGTTGGAAAAAGAATGAGTAAATTTTAATAAGCTTTCAAGGTCATTATATATATTCTTTGATGTTTCATTTTTAAGCTGTATGTGGTAGCTTAAAAATTGGTTGCAGTGAAGAACTTGAGCTATACAACTGAAATTTTTTTACTTCCTGCTTCACTAAAGTCCATTGGTCTACCTTGCACTCTGGATAGACCCTTCACCCTATGTGACTTTTTAACACCATGAAATTTGTCATTTTTGAAAATACTGGTTTCTAAGTGATGCAATCTTTCAGATGTTGACATATTTGGTTATATA